AGGCACTGGGGAAGCCGAGCCGCCAGCCCGAGCCGGGCGCCCTGTGTTGTGCTCGGCTCTCCGGGAAATGCCATCACTAATTTATGCACTAAAAGGAGCCGGAGGAGCTGGAGAGTCGCGGGGCCGAGCCGGGGAGGCCGGCGCAGGGAGGGAGGGCGCAGGCACTGACTGATGTGCAGCAGAAAATGGCTCCTTTCCCCTTTCCCTCCACCGAACGGCTCCATATTGCAAAACCAAAAAAAAAAAAAAAAATTAAAAAGCGACGAAAATGCAATTGTGTGCCTCCTCCCTCCTAGTGGTGCAGGGAGGGGACGCAAAAAGGCCGAAAATGTTGGGAACTGTCACTGCGGCGCTTTTGGTAGGGAATTTTTTTTTTTTTTTTAATTTGAAACGTGATGGCACCGGATGGAGGCAGACGCGCAGGCACACACACACTCACACACACACTCACACACACACTCACACACACACACACTCACACACACACACAGGCATATTTTTGTGCTGCTGAGTATTTGGGGTTGCTTGCCTGTGACAGCGGGCTCCTGGGCCGCGAGGGGGTTGGGGGGGGGGCCGCCCGGCTGACGGTTATCGGATTAGGGGTCAAATGGAGAACGGCTGAAGCTCTCGTGGAGACTCGGGGCTGGGGAGAGGAGGAGGGGACGGCGACTTCGCGTTTCGGCTGCTTTGCACGCAGGGTGCCTGGTGGGCAAAGTGGCTTTGGAACATGTCGCAGTAACATGCTTAAAATTCTTGACAACTGCAAAATAAACTGCTAGTTTGATTTTCCTGACCGCTCCCCTTTCTCCCTGCCCTTGTGTGTTGATTTGACTTGGGGGGGTGTGTATCAGGGAGTGTATCAGGCCTGCGGAAATCCACCCTCCACCCCCCACATCTACAGCTTAACAGCTTTCGGTTCAGGGAGACACAGGGTAGGGCCTTATGTCATTCCCCACCTGGAGGCCGAGAAGCTGGCTCGCTTGTTTTACGCGGTGTCCCCCTCCCTTTTCCCTTGCAAGATACAACACGTGGGAACCCGAGGAGAACATCCTGGATCCCCGGCTGCTGATCGCCTTCCAGAACAGGTGAGCGTCCCCCAGCAGCCGCGGCCTGCCGCCGTGACCGTATATGGGAAAGGGAAAGTGGGCGCTGCAGCAATAGGAAAGGGAGAAGGGTGGGGGAGGGGGACTTGCCCCCCCAACTCCGCGCCCTCACCGCCGCTAGCCAGAACGGGCCTGGCTGCGACCTCGCCTCCTCTCTAACCAACGTCCTTGGCGGTTGCTGCAGCCCGGGGTGGGGGCGGGGCTGGGGAAGGCGAGGCTTGCTTTTTTGGGGGGGCGCTGCTAGAAAGGTACATGTGGGTGGCTCTGGGTCCCGCGACTCCCCTCCTGTGACACCCCTGCAGCTCCACCTCCAGGGCTTAGGTGTTGCTCTCCCGAAGCCACCGGCCTCTTGGCCCCGGCACCTCGCGGGGCAGCTCCGAGGGAGCTGGCATTGTGAAACAGCCGGGACGTCACGGAACTGAACTTAACCTATTGGGGGCTGGAGAAAAGTTGACAAGACCTTATCCCCCACCGGCACCCCCCCGCCCCCCGAGCTTGGGATCGGCAGGGGACAGATTCTGTCTAGTCCTGATGCCTCTGACACCCCCCCACCAAAGTGGGCTGCTGGTGGGTGGGGCGCCCTGTCCTCGGGGTGGGGGGAGCTTGGCGCGAAGGGTGTGGGATGGGCGCTGCCCAGTGGGGGGGCTTCTTCGGAGGGGCTCATCCTCTAGCGCCCAGATGCTTGTCACGCTGCAGCTGCTGCAGCCGGTGGCTTTGATTCTCTGTTTCGGGAGGACAGAAGGGGGGAGGGCGAAGAAGGGGGGAACGGCAGGAGCCCGCGGAGCTTGGCCACTGTGCAGCCTTCCAACACCCCCCCCCCTTTAGTTTGCATTATTTCCTGTGGTGCGTTTGGCTCTAAAACTAAACTTTAGACCCTTTGAGCCAGCGACCGACGGGGAAGTTGCTCTCCCGCGCGCCGAGCAGGGATCCTGCCCCGGGCTCCACCTGGGAGTTCACCACCCTGTAACCATGCCAGCGGCTGATGCCATGCTGCATAATAGGTCCCTGAAGAATTCAAACGCAGGCTGTTGCAATGCCACGCAACTTCGGAGTCAGACACGGGCCCTGGCCCCAGGGACTGGCGGAACCCCTCTGAGTTAGCCCCCAGGCGGGGGCGGGGGGGGTCGCTGGAGAACTGGGAAAGGGCTGCTGCTTTGGCAAACGCCAGAGAGGCGGCGTCTTCTCCCGTGACCTGGACCGACCCATCCCCGCCCGAGGCTGGGTCAGACTCGGCCGGACCGTAGGCGGAAGTCTGGCAGCTGTATTGACCGGCGCCACCGCCCGCAGGCTTTATTAATAATTTGGAAATCGAGGCGGCCCGGCAGCTAGGAGGCGGCGCCCGGGCGCTCCGCCTCCCAGGCCTCCCGGCGGGGGTTCACCAGGTGGCTGCCAACCTGGCCGGGCCTGGCCTCCAGGCCGGCCCCCGCCCCCAGCCCCTAATTGGCTCATTTGCCGTTGTGTAAACAAGGGCGCAGCCCCTCCCCCTGTTTAGTGCCCGGCCTTTAAGAAAACGAGTCTTCCCTTCTGCCGGCGGCGCTCGTTATCTGAATCTTAATGAGGTCATTAGCATCCCTTGTCTCTGACGGAGAGGGACGAGGTCTGCGCACACCTCGCTTGGACGGCTTTGCAGTCCCCAGACCCGAGCCCCCACTCCACTTTGCGCAGGGCCACGGGGGCCGGAGGTTGTGAGCGCCAGCACCGGCGACCCAGCCCGGCGCTGCTTCCTTCCGGGCAGAGAGACCGGCCTGCGGGGGCGCTAGTTCAGATGTGGGCATCAGAGGTGGGGGGCCCTTCGTCGAGGACCCTCTGGGGAGATGAGGGTGGCTGCGAGCGCGGAGCGGGGTGCTGGGAGCGGACCTAGGCGCCCAGCTGGCGGCAGAGGCGACCTTCCGCCCCTGGCTCTTTATCCCTCCGGGTCCTGCTGCCCCCTGCCCACAGCTCACGGGGGGGGGGGGGCACCACAGGTTCCGCGCAGGGCAGGGAAGGGAGATGAGCCTGAGGCTAACGGCGCTGCTCTCTGTCCCCCCCCCAGGGAGCGGCAGGAGCAGCTGACGGGCTATCGGAAGAGAGGCCCGAAGCCCAAACCGCTGGTGGTGCAGGTGAGCGCGCCCGCCGGCCCCCGAGCGCCCACCAGCTTCTCCCTTGGCATTGCCACCGAGCTGCCTCCAGGCCCCGAGGGCGGTGGGAATTCCTTCCGGACACCCCAATTCCGCTTCCTTTCTGCTAAACTTCCCACACCCCGCCCCCCCCCCCCCATGACGCAGCTGCAGACTGGGTGGGGGCTGGGACTCCTGATGCTCCCAGCATGCCCTGGGGCCAGCCTGCTCCCTCCTTTCACCTCCCCCGGTTCTCGCAGGTACCTACCTTTGCCCGTCGCTCCAATGTGCTGACCGGTCTCCAGGACTCCTCGGCTGACAACCGAGCCAAGCTGGAGCTGGGCGCACAGGGCAAGGGCCAGGCGCACCAGTACGAGCTCAACAGCAAGAAGCACCACCAGTACCAGCCTCACAGCAAGGAGCGGGCGGGCAAGCCCCCGCCGCCGGGCAAGAGCGGCAAGTACTACTACCAGCTCAACAGCAAGAAGCACCACCCCTACCAGCCAGACCCCAAGATGTACGACCTGCAGTACCAAGGCGGCCACAAGGAGGCGCCCAGCCCCACCTGCCCGGACCTGGGCGCCAAGAGCCACCCGTCGGACAAGTGGGCCCATGGCGCGGGGGCCAAGGGCTACCTGGGAGCGGTGAAGCCCCTGACTGGGGCGGCCGGGGCTCCAGGCAAAGGCGCCGAGAAGGGCCCCCCCAATGGCATGACGCCGACCCCCAAGGAAGCGGTGACAGGCAACGGGATTGGGGGCAAGATGAAGATCGTCAAGAACAAGAACAAGAACGGCCGCATTGTGATCGTGATGAGCAAGTACATGGAGAACGGCATGCAGGCGGTGAAGATCAAGTCCGGCGAGGCAGCCGAGGGCGAGGCGCGCTCCCCCAGCCACAAGAAGCGCACGGCTGAGGAGCGTCACCCCCCGGCCGACAGGACCTTTAAAAAGGCCGCGGGCGCCGAGGAGAAGAAGGCTGAAGCGCCCTCCAAGAGGAGGGAGGAGGAGGCGCCGGGGTCCGGCGACCCGCAACCCCAGGACGCCGGCTCCCGCAAGCTCTCCCCGGCCAAGGAGGCCTTCAGCGAGCAGCCCCTGCAGCTCACCACCAAGCCCGACCTGCTGGCCTGGGACCCCGCTCGGAGCACGCACCTGCCCCCTCACCACCACCACCACCATCACCACCACCACCACGCCGTCGGCCTCAACCTTTCCCACGCACGCAAGCGCTGCCTCTCGGAGACCCACGGCGAGCGCGAGCCCTGTAAGAAGCGCTTGACGGCGCGCAGCATCAGCACCCCCACCTGCCTGGGGGGCAGCCCCGCCGCCGAGCGCCCCGCCGACGTGCCGCCCGCCGCCGCCCTCCCGCAGCCCGAGGTCATCCTGCTGGACTCGGACCTAGACGAGCCCATAGACTTGCGCTGCGTCAAGACGCGCGGCGAGGCCGGGGAACCGCCCAGCTCCCGCCAGGTGAAGCCCGAGGCGCTGGCGGCGGCAGTGGCGGTGGCCACGGTGCCGGCGACGGCGGCCGAGAAGCCTTCTGCTGAGGCCCAGGACGAGCCTGAGGAGCCGCTGACCGAATTCAAGCCCTTCTTTGGGAATATAATTATCACTGACGTCACCGCGAACTGCCTCACCGTCACGTTCAAAGAGTACGTTACGGTGTAGCCCGGAGGGCGTCGGAAGGGGAAGCGCCATCCCCGCGGGGGGGGGGGGGGACTTAGCACCTGGGGCCTCGGGGGCGGACTCCCCGTCCCGCTGACCGCGAGAGAGCCGGCAGGCCCCCAAGGCCAGGACACCTGAGGGAACCTAGGGAACCACAGCCCTCCTCGTCCCCGCGGGGCACTGCCTCCTTCACGCGGTGCCTGCGGGTCCTGCCCGTCCCCTTCCCACGCGGGACGAGAGCCGCGCCCCTCTGCTCCCCACCCGTCTTCCGTGGGTCTTGGGAACTGCCGGAGCAGCCTGGCGCGGGGGTCGCAGAGTTATAGTATTATATTTTAACTGTGCTAACTTGTCAAGTGCTGACTTTGCTCCCGTTTGTACGTGGTGTTATTATTGAAATGTATTGTTTGAGCTCAAAAGGCCCGACCACCCCTTCTGGGCTGATATATATATATTTATTTGTAGGTATTTATATATTGAAATATAAAAACCTAGATTTATGGAGTTTCCTCTAGATCATGTTATATTCTATATCAGACAAACTATTTTCTGTTGCCCTTCCTCCCCCTTCATTCAGTATTTCGGTTGATTCATTTCCTCCCCTCTCCCGCCACCACGAACTGCAATACCAGTAACCTTGGTATATATTTTTTGATACTGTACACATGGATGTGTTGTTTCTATGTGCAAAAAAAAAAAGTTTGTTAAAAGGCTAAACAAGCTCTCTGGAACTGCTGCTACTAGAAATGTCTAAACTATAAGCTTCCAGTTATTACCTGCTTGAATGTAAATATTAAATGGCGATGTTGAAGGTGCGTGGCTGCCGTTTGAGATTAGCGCAGAGGGGACGTCGGAGGTTGGGGAGCTGGCTGAATCCCCTCTCTCCCCACCCCAGTTCGGCCTTAGGTCTCCGAACGGATAGGTGTGCGTCCTGCGCTAAACCTTTGCAAAGCCAAGTGCACCGCTCGGGCGTTGCCGCCCGCAGCGGAGGTGACCCGCTCCGAGTCGGGTGGAGCGCCAAGGGGGAGGGAATTCCTGCAGGGGCTGCCGACGGCGGTCCGCTGGCTCCCGGGGTTTTGGGGCGGGTGGCGCCCACAACCCTGGCCACCCTGGGATCCGGCAGTGGGAGGGAGGGGTAAGGGGCGTGAGGACGCGAGTGAGGCCAGTCCCCCCACCCCCGCATGCCCACGGGGCCAGCTACTGACCTTTGCCCCTCCCCCCCGCGGCGCGCCCCACGCCCGCCAGCGCAGGCCCTGGCACCCAAGAGATGCTGGTCTCTGGTAATCCCCGCCTGGTAGGGCAGGTTGAGCGGGGAGGGGACCCGCACCCTCTCCAGCGTCCCTTGCTGCCACCACGGCCCCGCCCCACGGAGGAAGCCGCCAAGGCTCTTTCTCTGCCAGGCGCTCTCCCCGGAAACCACCAGGCCAGAGACTGAAGGAGCCGCGGGGGGCAGGCGGGGTGCTTCCTGCGAGGTGGCAGGAGGGGGCCCGGCAAGCGAGGCCTGCCCTCCACTTCTTTCGTGATGGGGGAGAGCCATCCCCATCTCAGCCCTCTCTCTGTGGGCGGCAAGGCCAGGGCTACGGCGGCGGCTCGGGGAGAAAGGGGTTAAGGGACCCGAGGGGCGATCGGAGGGGCAGAGCTGGGGTGCGGCCCGCCGGCTGGGAAGCCGCGAGCAGGGCAGGCGGCAGCCCGCTTTCTGCAGACGCAGCGATCTTCGCCCTGGTGGAGTGGCCGCGCAGGGCCTGGGGAGCGGGGCTGCTGGGGGCCTCCGTGCCCCTGCCTGTCCTCCGGGACCGAGGCCAAGCCGTCCAGGGCGCCAGGGCGGAAGAGGTCATCACAGTTCAGAATGGGGGGGGGGGACAGAGAGCCAGTGCTGGGGCGGCCAGGGGCAGAGATAGAGGGCCGGGAGGGCGGGGAGGCCTGAATGCGGACAGTGTGGCCACTGTTGGCTGCTGGCCACCTGCGGCTGGGGTGGGGGAGGGGCGCCGCGCAGGGGGAGGGGAGGGAAGGGAAGTTCTCAAAAAATACCCTTGGGAGTTGCTGGCGCTGGCTTTTGTGAATTGTCCCTCCCATTCCCCCACACCCCAGTCCCCTTTAGAGTGAGCGCAGCCCCCTCCCCCTCCGTGTAATGAATGCCCTTTGCCACCCTGGGAGCGAGGGGGGTGACGGCCCGCTCCTGGCAGGCTGCCTGCTGGGAGAATCGGCCTGTCCTTCAGCGCCTGGTTCACAAAGGCACCTCCAGGCCCCTGTTTTTCTAGCTGAGGAGGTCTGGAAAATGGGGAGTGGAAAGGGGAGCCCCTTGGTGGTTTTGCACAGCTGGTCAGTTAGGAGTGAGCTTTAGCCCCTGGTGGTGCCCCTTCCCTGTGGCCTGTGCCAGGCAGTGGGGGAGGGGTGGCACAGGGTGGCATTCCCCCAGGCAGACAGGGAAACGGTCCTCCACCACTCCTGGAAAGGCAGAGGCTGCAGGTGGTCCAAGGCCTTGAAAGTGGCCTGGTGGCTGGGCCTTCTGGGGTGGCCCTTGAGGACAGGGCCCTGGGCCGAGCCTAGCAGCTGACATGGAAGGCAGACAACAGGGCAGAGGTGATGGGTGGGTCAGGAGGAGTTGCTGGGGGGCCCCAGCCTGGGGCCAGACCCAGTGGAGTGTCCAGGACTCCTTCTGTCTCCCAGAGGGATGGTGGCCTGGATGGGCTGCTCAGACATGCTCGGCTTACTGGAGCATCTCACTCTGTCCTCATGGGACTGGGGTTCCCTGTGGGGTAAGAGTGAGTTCTGGGGGGCACAACCGTATGTCCTGGCCCGTGTGGCAGTGCCCAGTCCTCTGTCGACTCTAGAGCAAAGCTATGTACTCAGCCCGCCAGTGACTGCCACGCAGGCCTCCGGCACACCAGCCTGTGAGCACTTGTCAGAGGCACAGAAAGAGGTTCAGGGACCCTGACGTTGGACTGGAGGGCGCTGGGCAATTTCTCCTGGTAGGGCCTTTGGTTGGGGAGAGGGCAGTCACCCCAATTCTCATGGGTGTGGATGCTTCTTTCTAACTCGGAGGCTGGCTGCTCATCTGACCACCACCTTCTGCCCTGCAAAAGGAAAGGGTCATGAGCCCTCTTTTTAAGCCCAAGTCCAGACGAGGGGAAGGAAAGCAAGGCACTAGCCCCCTCTGAGCTCTTGGAAACCCAAATGGCTTTGCTTTTCTCCAAAGGAATCTTTCTAATGGGGCTGCGTCTAGAGGTGGAGCTGACACCCCGCCCCCAGAAGCTAGCCCTCCTGCACCACCCCCTGTCTCCCTTCTAGCTCTGGTCTCCCTCCCTGCAGCTTGCGCCCCGGTCCCACTCACGTTCGGAAGAGCGGAGAAGACGAGATCCGAAGACCTGCAGTGCTTGGGATCTAGGGTTGCCAGATTTAGCAAATACAAATCTGAATTTCTGGTGGCAACGCATACTTGTTTTAGTATAAGTATGTCCCGTGAACTATTGGAGACATACGTGTAGAAAAAAAAATGCAAGAAAATATTCTTTGATGGTTACGAGGGTGGGGAGGGAGGTTGAGGGCTATTTACTAACTAGATAGTAGATAAGAATCATCTTAGGCAAAGGGAAGGACAGCACACGCTACAGGGGAAGTCAGCACAACTGGACTAAACCAAAGCTAAGAAGTTTCCTGAATACAATCAAATACTTTGAGAGACAGAGTAGCAGCGGTTGGGGCCTGGGGACCGTGCTTTCAGGGGACATCTAGGTCAATTGGCATAACAAAGCTTATTAAGAAAATGTTCTGCATCCTACTTTGGTGAGTGGCGTCTGGGGTCTTAAAAGCTAGCGAGCAGCCCTTTAAGATGCATCAATTGGTTCCAACCACCTGGAGTAAAGGAAGGAACACCAATGACACAAGGAAAGTATTAGCCCAAGAGACAGAAGGGGCCACATAAACCAGAGACTTTATCAGCCTGAGACCAGAAGAACTAGATGGTGCCCGGCTACCACCAATGACCACCCTGACAGGGAACATAACAGAGAGTCTCTGATGGAACAGCAGAAAGATGGGGTGCAGAACTCACATTCTAGTAAGAAGACCAGACTTAATGGTCTGACTGAGACTGGAGGTACCCCGGAAAGCATGGCCCCTGGATTCTCTATCAGCCCAGAACTAAAACAATTTCCGAGGCCAACTCTTCAGACAGGGATTGGACTGGACTGTGGGTCATAAAGTGATACTCGTGAGGAGTGTGCCTCTTAGCTCAAGTAGATACAAGAGACCAAAGGGGCAGCTTCTGTCCAGAGGTGAGATGGGAGGGCAGAGAGGGTTAGGAGCTGGGTGAATGGACATGGGGAATCAAGGACGGAAAGGAGGAGTGTGCTATCGCAGAATGGGGTGAGCAATTAGGGTCACATTACAATGTATGTATAAAATTTTGAATGGGAGACTAAGTTGAAATGTAAACTTCATGTAGACTACAACAATTTTAAAAAATGCATTGTTTATTATAAATTCAAATTTAACTGGGTGTCCTGGATTTTACCTGGAAACCCAATTTGGATCCTGAATGAAGCATCCACGTGGTCAGTCCCTGCCCACAGAGAACTTTCAGTCCAACAGGAAACAGAAAGGACAGGAAGCTGGAAAGCTCAGATCCTGTAAGCGTGGTTACAATAATGACATTGAGTAGGGGGACATGGCTTAGAATGGGCTGCTGAAAGCTGGAGGGGCCCTCACCCGTGATTTAAGGTGGGGCTGGGCATCGCCTCTTGCAGGTGAGACACATACACAAAGTTAGGGGAAGAGCCGATTGGTGCCTTTGCCTCTGTCCCACCTTGGGCTCCTGAATTGAGGCACCTCCCCACTCCCGCCCACACCGAACCCAGCTTCTAGTAGCTATAAGGAGGTCAGAACATACCTGATTGCTGCACCCACTCCCCTCGCCGAAAAGCTTTCCCTCCCTGTGCCTGGGTTTCCTTGTCACCTTAAAAGACGCGTGATGAAGGTGAGGATGAGTTGGCTCGGGAGGAGCCTTGAGCACTTCTGGAAAATCTCCTAAGTAA